TACCACAATGCCGTCGACGGCGTTGAACTTCTTGCGACGTTTACCGAGATCGCGGTCGCCGTGCACGCCAAGACGGGGCTGGTCTCGCGCAGCGCAGTACCGTACTAGCAGGCTGGGCAGCGCTCGGAGTCAAGGAAGGAATTCGACGACTGAAAGCCAAAATAAAGTTTTTCTACAGTCGAATTACAAAAGAAAACACATAGTCGCATTTGTTAACTTTGATGAGACTGCAGTACGTGCGAGGACAAGGACCGGACATGCTGTCCGCACAGCTCAGGTCTTAGTTGCCGCACCATTTGAAGGCACTGTTGGTCGCGCACTGCGCTGCGGTCCAGCCCACAAAGCACGCATCGGTGGGCGCGTAGTAGCAGTTGGTACAAGCACCGCACGACGGCTTGGGCGCCGACGTCGATGGCACGGGGGTCGGCGTCACGGTCGGTGTCACCGGAGCAGGTGTCACGGTCGGGAACACGGACGTCGGTGTCGGCGACGCGGTGGGTGCAGGTGTCACCGGCGATGCCGTCGGCGTGGGTGCCGGACCACCCCCGCCAAGGCCGTCGAGCGCTTGGCGCACCGGCTTGGAGAAAGCGTAGCCGTCGTAGCTATCCCAGTTGATGCTCCACGTCATGACACCGCGGTACGTCGGGTACGTCGTCTTGGGCTTGATCGTATCGCAGCCGACCCCTTGGACGAGGCACGTGAGCGTGCGCTTGACGGTCTCGGGCGTCACAAAGCCGCGCCCAGCCGACTTGGGTCCTGACGGCACACCGAACGAGACCTGGTCCGGACGCAGACCGTTGAACTTCCAGCCAGCGCCATAGTTGGTCTGGAACCCCTCGATGAGCATGAGCGAGCCGCCGACGAGGCAGTCGACCGTGCCTTCGTTGAGCGTGCGGCCGTCCGTGTAGACAAAGCCGCCGTTGTTGTAGTACTGGACGTGGATCTGCGTGAGCTCGTTGCGGAGTCCGTCAATGATCGGGAGGTAGGCGCCCCAGATACCGCCGTACGCGCCGTGGCCACCTTGGACGTACGGATGCTCGGGCGCCATCGAGAGGTAGAACGAGTCGCCGATCTTTTGCTTGAGCTGCTTGACACCGGAAATCAAGTTGTTGATGATCGGGAGACCTTGCGAGACGCCGTTCTCCAAGTCCAGATCGATGCCGTCAAAGCCATACTTGGTCAGGATACCATGGACGCTCGAGACAAAGTTGGCCGTCTCAGTCGCATCGCTCAGCGAGACGGCGCCGTCTTGGCCACCGAGCGAGAGCACGATGGTCTTGCCGGCAGCCTTGAGCGCGGCGACGTCCTTGATGAACTGCTCCTCCGAGCCGGCGGCCGGGTCCAGCTCAAAGCCGACCTTGCCCTGACCGAGCGACGACGCGAACGCAATGTTGATGACGTCCCAGTCCTTGGAGATCTGGCTCAGCGGGTATGTGGCGCCCGACGGGTTGGGAAAGTTATGCCAGTAGCCGACGAGCGGATGCGTCGCGACCTTGTTTTGAACGCTGTTGACCCACGGGTATGACTCGGAGTGCACTTGGGTGGCCGAGGCGACCGACGCAGCGAGCGCGAGGACAGACACAATGTTCATGGAAGCGTGTGCGCGGCGATGGAAAATGAAAAGTGAGTTGCAATTCCCATAGCGAGATCCAAGACTTGGGTCTCAACTCGTGTTGCAGTCGAATCGTGGCTCTGAGAATGCACTTGTCCAATATCAAACTCACTACAAAAGACGGCAAACGTCGTTGTCGCTGCTCTGCCACGATCGCAAGTTGAAGTTGGCATGGTCATCGACAAACTCTTTGGGTCGACTGGTGCCGCGTGATGCGCTCCTTCTTCCGATGCTTCAAGCTCATATGGTGCGACGACGCTGAGTATTGTCTACTTTGACAAAATGGAGCGATCACAGGGCTGCGATTCCTATTGAAATCACACTGTAATCGTGCATACAACTGCATTTCACAGTATTCAGCCGAGTCATGGTTCCACTCTTTCACGTCGAGGTATGGAGGGCATGCGAGCTGGACATGCGGTATGTCAAGAGTCGCAATTTCTAGGTCATGGAATACCATCATCAATCCTTGGCAAGCGATCTGGTGTGGAGCGGCAGCGTGACTGTGCTCCGTAGAGTAAAGGCCACAACGTCCATCAGCCATAGCGCCGTTTGTCAAAAAAAGTCTATAGAACTTAAGCAGGTGTATTGGTTGTCTGGGAGTTATCATATTCTGACATTTTTGTGCGTAAATCTCACCTGCCGACATAAAACCCGCCTTGAAACGTGCACCGCAAATATTAAACTGCTGAGCCTAACAGCTGCCTTCATGATGGAGACACATCTGCTATTTAGGGGTGGGGTTGGTCTATTCCATCCAGTCTGCCCCTTCTATGCTGGAATAATCGAGCGTGATCGGCCCACGCTTTTTGCGGCAGAACGCCTGGTTCATACTCAGAGACTGATCCCGACCAGTTGCTCCGACTTTCGGTTTGACAAGCGTCCGACAAGGCCTGGTTATGGACCCTTGATTCTGATACGCAGTAATGTGGGACGATCCTTCCAGCCTCACGAAGCGCGGCAGTACCATCGATATATTTTGGGCAATCTAGAGGCTTATTTTTCTGACAATGCTCTGTCAGACCCAGCGTCGTCGTGTGTGGCTAGCCACATTGTAGGCGCTGGTACGGGCCTTGCACGTCGATCGATGCCTAACGCGGCGGCAGTCTCGTTGATGCTACATCCAACTGCCCCGCGCACTTGAAGAGAAATCGAGGCGTGGGATGTTGGTTGTTCTGCCACAGGGCAGTGACTTTGAACCGCACCCGTCACTTCACAACGCGCCTAGTCCTGAGCATGCGCCCCTTTGCCCTTCTCGTTGCGGTCGCGGCCCTTGCTGCCACGACGCTGGTCGATGCGGCCAACCTCCGTGCTACTGACGACAAGCCCGATACGTACCCATGGGTCAACAGCGCAGACGTCGGCCAGCGCGTCGCGAGCTCAGATCCGAGCGCCGACACCTACCCGTGGGTCAACTAGGAAGGTCTGGGAGCTGCTGTGTGTATAAACGTTCATGTTCCTTGTCTGCGTACAAGTCTGTCTACAAAGCGGTGCCAGTCCTCGACTACTATACCATGTCCATGCCGATCACCAGTGCAACCACATTTGCCATAGCAAGATAGCTATGAGAATCCATACATAAATCGTTGAACTTGTCCTCATCTCGCTTGCACATCACCGAGCCATCTTCTTGAAAGCCCAAACCACAAGGGCAGCTTCGAGTGCGAACATATATACACACTTCACACTCTAGCTTCTCCATCTCGAAACGACATACTAGTATACCTAGTCGTGCTGAATTTGCCCACCGACGTTCCTATGTCCACGTCGTGCAGGCAACTTACCACACCGCCCATACGAACCCACCCATATCTTGACACATCATAGCGCAATATTACCGTATAAAACACGTCAAGAATGTCCGAAGAAAGTTTGGTCCCATTATCTTGTTTCGATCCGTCAATAGCCGTGTCACCTCAAATCAACAGCTTGACCTTATATCAACCCTCATGTACACCGCGTCTAAGTTGCTCTTGCGAGAGGCAATGTCTTGGTGCGTGGGCGCAGCACGTTTCGGCGTGACATCCTTTTTACCGTAAACACAATGTAAAATCACCGTCAAAACAGCGTTCTTGACGTCCTATCGCCGTCAAGATACCGGCGCCAGCTGGTCCATCGCTATCGAATCTCGCGCATCATTTTCGCATCCGGCAAGCCCCATGCACGAGACGCACGAAGCGACCCGTGCGCTCTTGTCGCCGGCTACGTACCGCCAGCACCCACTCTCGCGACCAGGTACACGCACCTCTCGCATGACCTTGATGCAGACAGGCGGTGATGCATAGTCGTCCGCGGGACAATCGCGATATGTGTGCTCGTGGCTGTGCTCGCTTTGGTCGCGTGGGCAACACTCCCGGATTTACCACAAAGTGCCATGTCGGTTCCGGTCCTTTCCCGCGCCGACTATGACGACCTGATTGACCCCGAGACGGCGCCCACGCTGCTGACGTTGCTGGCGATCGGCGACTGGGGCGGCACGCTCGGGAAGGAGATGGGCGACCCGGGCTCGTGCTGTGTCATGTACAATGGGTCGGTCGACACGCGGTCAAATCGATATAAGGTCGACTTTTATGCGCAGGCGTACGTCGCGGACCTCCTGGCGGCGTCCGCCGCGCAGCTCTCGCCCGCCCGCATCGTCTCGCACGGCGACAACATCTACTGGGTCGGCGTCGGCATGGACAACGCAGCGTACCGTCTGGAGCAGACGTTCGAGGCCATGTACGACCAGCCGTCGCTGCGCCACATCCCGTGGCTCAACGTCGCAGGCAACCACGACATTGGCGGGGCCAGTTTCATCTGCGGCGACAAGGAGCCGTACTACGAGTGCAGCAGCGCAGACGAGCTCGTCGCGTACTTGGATCGGCGCTTTGAAGCACAAGCCTCGTACAAGAGCCCGCACGGCGACCGGTACCGTTGCGTGTGCGATAACCCTACATTGCGATCACTGTGTGTTTAGCTGGGTGCTGCGCGATCACTACTACCTGGAGCGCATAGTGCGGGACAAGATTGTCGTCGAAGTGTACAACATCGACACCAACAACGCCGACAACCACGGTGGCGCGTCCGTCTGCTGCCAGTGCTATGGGTACGCGGCGAAATACGGCTTCAACGCGGGCGAGTGCGACGCCGCGACCCGGGGCGACCGCGGCTGTGTCCTCGGCAACACGGAAATGTTTGACGCGTGCATGGACCGCATCGACAGCTGGGCCGACGACTCGTACACGCGCATGGCGGCGGACCTCGCCGTCTCGGACGCGGACTTTACGCTCGTCAACACGCATTTTTCACCGCATTACCACATGGCACCAGCCAAAATGGCCCGCTGGATCGAACTTTGCGAGCGCTTCAAGGTCACTGCGTGGCTCAACGGCCACACACACGGCTTCAACCACGACATTGGCATATGGGGAATTCACTTCTTCATGAACGGCGGCGGTGGCGGGTACTTCACCGCCAACAACCCGATCGTGACGACGCCGACGATTCAAAAGTACGTTCTTATTCCTTAAATGGGATTGAGTCGACGATACTTATTGATGGATAGTCAATGGCTCGTGGTCGGGGAGCCGTACGGCTTTCTCGAGCTCAGCTTTTCGCGCGACTGGCTCAAGGTGCAGTTTGCGACGTTTGATTCGGACTGGCGCTTTGGCGGCTTCGACCTGTCTGAGACGACCGTCGGCGGCGTCGCGCGCGGCCACTGCTGGTTCCTCCCGCGTGCCAGCGCTGGCGTGTCACCCGTCGGACTCGAGTGCAATGCGTCGTTCAATGGACCAATCGGTGCTCCCTTGCAGTGGCGTTAAATTCCGATTGGGTGGTCTTTTGGTCTAAACATTCGAGAAAAATGGATATACAAAACGTCTTTATCCAGGTTTAACACTGTAAATATGCGATACAAAGATGCATGTAACTAGGAAACGATGTACTTACCACGCGTCGGATGATGACGAGGCATCTGTCGAGCCCGAGTTGCTGGTCGAGTCGGATCCACTGTCGGACGACCACGAGTCGCTGCCGGCGTCAGACGGAGAAATTGTGGGGTCGTCAATGATTGGCTCGTCGGAAGTCGCACCGCACCATGTAAAGACTGCGCTCGTGGCGCACTGCTCGGCGGTCCAACCCACAAAGCACGCGTTGGTTGGAGCGTAGTAACAGTTGGTGCACGAGCCACACGACGACACTGGGGACGGCGTGCTCGGTGTGGGCATGTCACTCGAGGGGTTAGGGGTCGGCTTCATCGTTGGTAAATCTGACGGTGCGTCCGTAGGCTCATCTGACGGCTC